ACAGCTCTGACAGAACTATGGCTTGCCCAAGGTCATCCAGCAGCTGCATGTGGAGGATTGGGGAATCAAACCTGGTTCTCCCAGATTAGAGTGCATGCTCCTAGCCACTACACCAAACTGGCTCCAGGTTACATATGGGGTATAAATCAGCAGATTCAGATTTTTCCAGCACAGAAATGCAGTGATGGGAAAATTTCACCTGTGTATTTCAGCTTGTTAAAAGTGAAGTGTCCAGGGGGAAAATATAAGTAGCGAACTTAGGTGCCACTGGTATGATGTGATGCAAACTGCCCCTCTCCTTCTTTGAGAGAAAAGTCAAGGGTGGTCTCCTAATAGGCTGAGGGAAGTACTTCCAGTATAAGAGAACTTCCACCAACTTAAGTGGATTTTCCACTGAAGGAAGGCTCAGCCTGGAGGAAGGTATAATGGAGTGATAGGAGGCAGGCCACTGTGTCCTACCACAACTTTTCTTGTTTTAACAGAAACAGTAATGTTGCCGATATGCGTATGTGAGTATCCTGGTCAGAGGGAGTGTGAATTCCACACAGAATATTTGGGAGTGGAATGCGCGGTAGAAAGGCAAATCTCTTTCAGAAATGTGACTTGGAATGTTACTCTCCTGGTCTCCCGTGTTCTAGATGCAACTGGCTCTTCGTATTGTCTTCTCAGGTCTGTTCATTCAGAGCTGCTGCATCATAGTTCTAGTTTTTAACATGGGTGGGACTCTTTCAGCCAGAAAGATTGAGTCAGGTTTGCTGTGTGCTCTCTGCTGCAATCTGGAAGGGAACATCAATCTGGAAGGCAATTGTATCGTGTATCCCATAGTCCAAAGTAGAGAGCCTCCCAATCAAGGAGATGGGATGAAAGATGCTACCACTTCCACATAGCGCCGTCTGAGACCCTTGTGGCTGGGGGCATGGACACGAGAGAGTGAGACTATTGTGATCAAGGAGCTGAGGATGCCCTTTGATTTCAAGGAGGTATAAAAGTAAAATGTGAAATATCCATCCAGCAATAAAAGCAGCGGCACTTAAGATTTTTAAAATGCAATGTAAAAACTTTAGAAACATAGAAATAATCCACTTAGTAGCCTGTTAAACTATCAAAAACTTTAACTTCTGTGATGAGAACCAATGCATTGGGTTACAGCCAGTTCCCACATAGAAAACAAATGTATATCTCTGTGCATGAGTAAGAAACTTAGTATTGGAAAACTTAACTGAGGGGCGTTTTCCATGCTTTATTTACTGACACGTGAAGCATTTGTATCCTGCATTTTCTCATGAGGGGATCAAAGAGACTGGAGTAAAGGCAAAGAATCAAAATACCACTTGACCAACCAAGTTGAAACAGCTGGTTTATTAAAACAAATGTTTACATCAAAAATATCAACAGAACCAGCTCATCGATCCAGTAAAAGTGATTTGGGCTTAGACTGGATTAGCTCTGCATGAGATTGCAGTGTAAGTAAACTACCTTTAGCCATAACTCAATACTATTCTGCCAAGGAGTTCCGTTTTTATAATGCCGTTCTGTACGTGGTTCTTCTTTCCCTCATTTTCGCCTCACGAGAATCCTGTAAAATAGGCTAGGTTGAGAGAGCATAACTGGCCCACAATCACCCAGCAAGCTTCATGGCAGAACAAGGATCTGAAGCAGTGTTCCCTCTAAACTGAGTTAGTGTGAGCTAGCTCACAGTTTTTTAGACGCTGGCTCACACATTTTTGTCTTTGCTCAGGAAGGAGGGCTCCAGAGCAAACTAATTTATGCAGTATCTAAATGGCTCGCTCACAACTTTAATGCCAGGAGCTCAGAAAGTAGAATTTTTGCTCACAAGACTCCACAGCTTAGAGGGAACATTGATCTGAAGCCAGGTATCTCAGATCCTAGTTCAATCCCTTAACCACCACACTGGCTCTCAGAGGCCCACCTGACCACCGTACTCTCCACCAGTCTTCTAAGTTTTCCTCACAGTTTCAGGAAGACTGTCTGTAAAGCCTATGCCAAGTATTGTAAAAGCCCATAACTGGCCAGTAGCAATAAACCTGCAATACAGAATAGTAAAAAAGGAGCTGCTGAGATGACCAAAGTTGTCATGCCATTTTGTATAAGGAGAGAGGGTTCTTAAAAGTCACAAGCTGATTCCTCACTTCTAGAGACTGGAACTTTGCTGTAAGGGTGTTGTGGGTGAATGCTCCAAGCTGAGAAAATAAATGGGCACCTTTCAAATGTTATGCTTGCCATTGCAGAGAGCAATCTGCCATAGTATAATGTTTAAAAGCTCACAACAGTGTGGTCAGGGTTGACAATGGGGTGCTATCTTCACAGGAGAGGTCCAGTTTGGAGGCTGATATTACAAAAATGCCACGGGATGAGCCAACCAAGAAATAGTTTCCATTGTACTAGTGTGATGTTTCAAGGGATGTGCTGCTCTCTAACATTTGGTATAACTAGGCCTGTTATGTCCAGCCTACCTGCTTAGGCAAGGCTGAATTTACAATTCATGACTGAGCGCTGTTCTTGGGCTAGCTCTGGGAATCAAGTGTTGATGATCTTTGTGTTACGTGTAGTTACTCTGAAGAAGTACCACAGGCCAGTCAGTCTGACCTCTGTCCCAGGGAGGATACCGGAGCAGATTTTAAAGGGATCAATCTGCAAGCATCTAAAGGACAACTTAGTGATCTGGGGAAGTCAGCACAGATTTGTCCCCAACTGGTCCTGCCAGACCAACCTCATTTCCATCTTTGATGGAGTGATGAGCTTACTGGATTGATGGAATGCTATTGCTGTTGTTTACCCGGATTTCAGTAAAGCTTTTGACAGGGTTCCCCATGATATTCTGATGGGTAAATTAAAGGACTGTGGACTGGACTCTAGGATAGTTAGGTGGACAGGGAACTGGTTGGAGAACACCACTCAAAGAGTAGTTGTCAGTGGCATTTCATCTGCATGGAGTGAGGTGTCCAGTGGGGTGCCACAGAGCTCAGTTCTGGGCCCCATACTTTTCAATATTTTTATAAATGATCTGGATGAGGGTGTGGAGGGGCTACTAATTAAATTTGCAGATGACACCAAATTGGGAAAAGCAGCGAATGCACCAAGAGATACAGAATTCAGTGAGATCTGAACACACTGGAAAAGTGGGCAGATTTGAACAAGATGCAGTTTAACAAGGATAACAAGGAGTTCTACATCTGGGTAACAAAAATGTGGAACCTGGAGTATTGTGTGCAGTTCTGGAGACCTCACTTCAAAAAGGATATGGACAGAATGGAGCGGGTGCAGAGGAGAGCGATGAAGATGATCGGGGGCCTGGAGACCAAGCCCTATGAGGAAAGACTTGGGAACCTGGGAATGTTTAGTCCGGAGAAGAGGAGGTTGAAGGGGGACATGATGGCTCTCTCTAAGTATTTGAAAAACTGTCCCTTAGAGGAGGGCACAGAGCTGTTCCTGTTGGCAACAGAGGCTAGGACTTGCAATAACGGGTTTAAATCAAGGGCGGGAAGGTACCAGCTGGATATTAGGAAAAACTTTTGTACAGTAAGAGTTGTGCAACAGTGGAATCAGCTGCCTAGGGAGGTGGTGAACTCCCCCTCACTGGCAGTCTTTAAGCCATTTCTGGACAAACACTTATCAGGGATGCTCTAGGCTTCTCCTGTATTGAGCAGGGGGTTGGACTAGGTGGCCTGTATGGCCCCTTCCAACTCTATGATTCTATGATTCTGTAGTGCAGGGGTGTCAAACTTGTGACCCATAGGCCATATCCAGCCCGCACATGGCTCAAAACCGCCCCCCAAGCAACTTCCATATCCAGCTTCCTTTCTCAGGGCTGTTACTGCAGCTGCACTCTAGCTTGCTTTTTTCCCAGCTCTCTCAGTGGCTCTTTGCTTCCTGCTTCCTATTTCCTGCTTCCTGCCTGGGGCTGTTCCTCTTCTTCTAGGGGGGAAGGGGGGAGGAGAAGAGAGAGAGAGAGACCAACAAGGTTTTATTCCAGGTATAAGGTTTTGTACCCAAGCACACTTCTGTGGAGGAGGGAGGGTGGGTGGATGGATTATTCTGAAAAGCACAATGCACATTGAGGAAATTATTTTGGCTTATTCTGAAAAGTTTTTTTTAATTATTGGATTTCTCTGCTCCTATCTGAATTTATTTTCTTTCAAAAAGACCCTGATTAAGAGTTTGAACACTTGGATTGGTCTTTATATCTTGGACAGTGAAGTGATTTCAGATGCCAAATGATAATAGCACACATTGGTAATGAGACAGGAAAACTAGGTCTCAATTGAGTCCAGGAGGATGCATTGTCTTGAGCTTCATTATCAATTGCAATTCAGCAGTCTCTCTTTCTAATCTCACTTTGAAATTCTTTTGTAAAAGCACTGCTACTCTTAGGTCAGTAACTGATGTTGTGGTTTCTAATGTCGGACTTATGTCCATCCTCCTGGACCGAATCCTCCTGGATGAAATTGGGACCTTGGTTTCCTGTCTCATTACCAATGCTGATATCTGCACACCTACTTCCCCTCTGCATATCACACCTAATCCAATCATGCCTACTATTGCCATTTGGCATCTGAAATCATCTTTGTATAGTTTTTATCTCTGGTACTTCATGTTACATTTTATAGCACGTATGGCCTGGCCCAACAAAGTGACATTTTTGTCAGATCTGGCCCTCATAACATATTAGTTTGATACCTCTGCTATAGATTCTATAGGAATATCTGCTGGATATAGCACCATTTGCCATGTCTTTTAACCATCAGCTCTTAAATTATTACCCAGTAACCTTCCAAAGCAACTCTACAAAGGGATAAACATCATAATCCATCTTCTACATTCTTTAAATCCTGTCTGTAGACCCTTATTGACAAGGACACTCCAGAAAATGTTCTGTAGTTAGCTTGTTCCGATGTACACTCTGAAGTGTCTTTGTGTGTGTGAGTATGCTGTGAAATTATGGCTTATTCTTATATCTTGCATTGTTCCTGAATCTGCAGCTGTCTTTTAGGTTGCTGAAGATGGCCAAAGGGGAGACTGGCGTGCGATGTTTCCAAGGCATGCTTATCATGGGCAATGTCATTATGGGGGTAAGTGTACTGTGTAAATGGGAAGGGTGGCTACTCTAGGAACTTGTGGGCTTATTATGAAAGGTGTGTTACTATTTATAGCAGACGTTGGCAACAGACATTTCAAAAGGGTTAGCGTTCGTTTAAGAATCCAACTAACTCTTACAAAGAAGCCCAAAGTAAGGCCAGGACACGTGATGGAAAGGTGGGCTATACATATCCTGTGTGGTGCTTCTAGTCACAACATAAGAACTTAAGAAGAGCCCTGCTGGATCATCATCATCACATCATCATCTAGTTCAGCATCCTGTCTCACACAGTGGCCAGTCAATTCCTCTGAATGGCCAACAGCAGGGCGTAGAGGATGAGGCCTTTCCCTGATGTTGCCTCCTGGCTCTGGGATTCAGAGGCTTAGTGCCTCTGAATGGGTGTTCCCCTCAGTCACATGGCTAGTAGCCATTGATAGACTTATCCGCCTTGTATCTATATAATCCCCTTTTAAAACTCTTTATTCCTGTGGCCATCACTACATCCTCTGGCAGTGAATTCCATATTTTAATCACCCTTTGGCTGATTTTGCACAAGGAGCTGCGCCGCCATCGTGCCTACCTTTGCCCTGTTTCCATTGGGCAATTTCCCACTCGAAGCCACGCGGCTACATTTTGACCCGCGGCTTCGCCCGATTTTCCCCACGGTTTCGTGATCCTCAAAAAACAGGATCACGAAACCGCGGGGAAAATCGGGCAAAGCCGCGGGTCAAAATGTGGCCACGCGGCTTCGAGTGGGAAATTGACCAATGGAAATGAGGCAAAGGGAGGCGTGACGGCAGCGCAGCTCCTTGTGCAAAATCAGCTTTTGTGTTAAACAGTATTTCCTTTTATCCATTCTGAACCTACTGACCATCAGCTTTGCTGGATCTGGAGTTCCTTAAAAAGGAACATGAGGAGTATATACAATATTTGAACATACTGGGCTCAGGTTTGTGTAGGCATTGTGTTCAGACGGAATGACCATCATTTGTCTCTTGTTTGTAGCTCTGTGGCCTTGCCCTGATGGCAGAGTGCATATTCTTTGTGTCAGACCAACAATCAGTGTATCCTCTGCTGGAAGCTACTGACAATGATGACATCTATGGTGCTGCCTGGATTGGGATCTTCACTGGCTTTGGTTTCTTCTGTATGTCTGTCCTTGGTATTGTTGGAGTCTTGCAGTCAAACAGAACAATGTTGTTGGTGGTAAGTTGGATGCTAATCAGTAGTGCGTGAGTTCTCCTGATCTAAGAAACCAATCAGCTGGTTGCGCGTTGGTGTATTCTTGGCTTTTGCATAAAGGAACTTCCTAAACAGTAATAAGTAAATGTGTGGGAGATTCTATTTCCTTGGCAACCTAGTTATTCGCTGTATCTGCAGAGTTCCAGGAACTAGAATAATCGTGAGCTTTGGCACTTTCTGAACAAATGAAACTTGCTATTTCAGCTTCCATGCTGCAGCAAGCCTAGCAGGAAAGAGGTAGGCGCTGTTTTCTAATTAGACACATAAGCAGAGTTTGCTGTCAATCTTTGTGAAAGGTATAGCAAAAAGAGAGAGAGAATTTTCATACTCTGAATAGATCCTTATACCTTGCCATTGTCATCTCTCAACTTGGTTGCAACACAAGAATGCCATTGGTGGAACTACAGCCATATGCCATTACTTCGATGGGGAAAATCTTTCAGTTGCTTATGATTTAAATTGCAGTGTAATGTAAGGAACCATGTATTAAAACTTCAGCTCATTTCTTAAGGAGGTATTAGTTCTTCAGTGGAAGAATTTAAGTGTGACACTGATCTTCATCTATAATTAGGAGCTGATGTTAAAAAATGGATTTTCACAATGTATAGCAAACTCAGGCAACTTTCCACTGCCACACTGACCTCTATGTGAAGCATGAAATATATATGTTTCTAGTGGATATATACAAGCCAAGCTTTGGATGCTTTTCCAAGTTTAGTCTTCATCTTATAGAATTCTTGTGTTGATGCTTACCAAGAATTTAGTATGGTAGGGAATGGGAGTGATCTAAGGACTGCATCATGTGTGCTTCATCATCACTTAATACTAAAGTGGTATCAAATGAGGACTTGCATGTGTGAGTTGACATGATAGGCTGAAGATCACAGATAAATACAGTGTTTTGAGCTGCCATAAAAACTCTCTTGCTGGTTAATATTTGAGACTTGTAAATGTGAAGCAGTGGCAGAAATCCTTATCGAGTTCACAAATCACACAAAATTGGCTGGGGTAGTAAATGCCTTAGAAATTAGATTTGAATAATTTGTTAGTTTCAGCCCAGCTTTTCAATCTGACAAATGCAAAGTTTTCCACTTAGGTCTAAAGAATCAAATGCTTAGGTACAGAGCAGGGGATACCTGGCTTGGCAGCAATACATGTGAAAAAGATTTCATCATTTTTGCAACAGTTGCGGATCACAAGGCAGACATGATTCAGCAAGGCCATGTGGCTGCATTAATAGTAGAAGTGTATCATCCAAGTAATGAAAAGCATTAGTTCCACCCGCTCCCTGCCAGTCAGATATCATCTAGAGTACTGTGTCAAGTTCTGGGTACCATCTTTACATTAGACATACTGAAATCGAGTCAGAGGAGCGCAGCAAGGCTGGCTGGGCTTTGTAAAACTAGTCCTCTGAGGGCATACTGAAGAAAATAGTCAGTTTAGCCTGAAGAGCAGAAGACTGAAGGAAGAAATAATCATGCTGTTCTAAAGTTCCGTCACATGGAAGAAAACACAGACTTGTTTGGTGATGGTGTGACTGATAAAACTAATGGCTCAAGGAGGATTTCAGTCGAACACTACAAACTTCCTTAACAGTGAGAATAGTTTGATGATGGAGTAGACCACACTGGAGGTCTTCATGCAGAAGTAGGGTTGCCAAGTCCATCTTCCACCCCCAGCGGGGGACTTTGGGGGCGTTCCTGAGGGGGGTGGGGCATCCCCAACGTGATGACGTCACGTTGGGGACGTCTGCCGCCCCCCCCCCTGCCGCCCGTGCGCCGGATCTCCAGAAATGGCAGTTCTCTGCAGTTAAAGTAGCCAGCAGCCGGCATTTCCCCTTTAAGAGCAGCTGCGTTTCCCTTTTAAGAACGAAGCTGGCTTTTCCCAGCAAGCTTGCGGAGTTCGCGCTTGGGATGAAACACGGTTGCACACACTTAAAGGTAGAGAGATGGGTGGCTGTGGGTGTTGGGGGACCCCTGGCAAACCGGGGGGGGTTGGCAACCCTATGCAGAAGGCATCTTAATCATGATTTCCTGCACTGATCAGAGAGGTGATGACCTATAAGGCTCCTTCCAACCCTAACTGGTGATCTGCTCAAGTTTTCAAAGTTCTCTCTTATAATTTAAAGAACAGAAAAGACAAAAGTACCCCCAAAGGCATGTTTGCTGTTTACCAGAGGGAAATAAATTTAAGAACTAACCATACCTACCATTCTGGGTGATGTGTTTTATTTTTTTTGTTTTCTAGTATATCTGCTTGATGATGATTATCTTTGCCTTTGAAGTGGCCTCTAGCATCACAGCAGCTGTGCACAGAGACTTTGTGAGTATTCCCTTTAAAGGTTTTGTTTTTGTTTTTTGCTGTTTTAGTCTTCCAGAGTTGCTCGATTTCAGCCTTGAGACTAAAAAGATATATGGTACTTGTCTACGGAAGGTTAGACGCTCCAAGCAGAAATGAATATGACAGCAGTAAGGATGTATGTGGAAGACTCTCGGGAAGTTTTTTTTTAAAAAAATGTTTTCCTCTTGTGATAAGATTTATTTTTTAAAAAAGAAAGTAACTTGGAACTATATAATTTTAGCATGTTGGCCATATCCCAGGTAGAGCATGAGCAGTCTTCTGCTTAGTAGGAAGGAACTATGAAAGGGAGACTGGTCTCAATTACTCTACTTCTATCAAGCAGAGAGGTCGAAGGCTTTACGTTTTTTCATTATCATTTTTCACTGGAAGGGAATGCCCGTCTGATAAATTATTCTGAAACTCTATCCTGCCCTAATCTTGTGCTTCTTCTCCCTTCGCTTTGCCATCCAGCTCACTCGCAATCTCTTCTTGAAACAAATGTTGGAAAAATACCAAAATCCAGAGCCAGTCAACAATGATGACAACTGGAAGAGTGCAGGTGTTACCAGGACATGGAACCGTTTCATGTTACAGGTACTGATGACTCATGGTCAACATGGGGTTTTGGAATGGGCATCTAACCACGCATGGCTTTTAAAATGAAGTGCAAAGAAATATACTTTATTGGGGGGGGGGGACCTATAGTACCAATGTTAAGTATGAAACAAATGTCTTGAATGCAAAAAGCTTGGCCTTTTTGGTAGGTTTCTTAGTGTTCCACTTTCTGGAGTGTAGGGCTGGGAGTATCTTAGACTATTATTTACTTAAAACATCAGCATCCTGAAGTGTCAAAGGCTGCTTACAAAAGAAAGAATTAACAGTATAGAACCATGTTTTGCAATTCTGTCAAATCCCACAAAGATTTTTTAAAAGCTTCAGGTTTTTTTCATGCTTCCATATGTCTAAGCAGACCAACTCTGTGGGTACATCTGTAGCCTGTCTTCAGTGCCAGCATTCCTCGTCTTAATATCTATTCTGTTTGTGCTGTGTTTTTAAATTTTACTTTAAAATAATTCTACCACTTCTTGGCACATGGCTCTCAGGGAGGCTAATAACAGAGTATAAATTAAATAACAGATCATTAGAATCCTAAACTTGAGTAAGCTACCTACTGTTAAAAAAAAAAAAGCAGTCCTCGAAAAGAGGGTGTCTAGATGCATGTGCCTACACCATTGCAAGCACAACCAAACCCTGGAATGAAAAGAGATGTTATCTGATCTGATAGATGTGGGGGTAGAATTCTATATGCAAAGGGCTATGAGAGAAAATGTCCTGTATCTGTGTGAACATCCAGCTTACAGATGGGAATGCATAGAGAAGGGTCTGGGTGGTAAATGGCCACGCTATGTAGAGGCTGCAATTCACACTTACCTGGTAGTAAATACAGTTGAACATGGTGGGACTGATGTGTGTGTGGCAATGCCTAGGACTGGGCCATTAATGGCATGGGAGTATAAGCATTAAATTCAAATTAGGCTCAGATACCATAAGACTACTGGCTTCCCTTCTGCTTAGAACTATGTAGACTAGCGTCATCTTTCCATACCAGTATGCAATTGAAATTATGCCGATTGATGGCCTTGATTATACTCGAATAATCAGTTGTTACTTCTTATTGTCAACTTTCCATCTATGTGAATCCCATAGAAATAATTTGGCATATGTTTAGAGTTCATCAGAAATCTGTGTTGCTTTTTTGAACTAATAATTTTCTTTTTTGCAAAGCTATGATTTGGCCTAGTAATATCCTGCAAGCTCCCTTATCAGAAGAAACATTAATGCAGAGAGGCCACTGATGTTCATTCTCTCTCTCTCTCTCTCTCTCTGCTCTATCTGGTTGTGCTACATTCCTGCAATATTCTCATGTGTTGCCAGAAAGTTGCCCCTCAATGAATGCAGTCCTGGTCAACTTTGGGTCACATTCCTTTCCTTTCCTTCCCAACCAAGTTGTCTCCCCCCCCCCCCAATAAAGGCCCTTTTTTTTTCCCACCCAGGTGTCCCCCCCCCCCCCCAATAAAGGCACTTGATGTCTGTAGTCCTAACACACAATGTCTCTTCCCCCCACCCCCAGGATAAATGTTGTGGTGTGAATGGGCCATCAGACTGGCAGACCTATACCTCTGTCTTCAGGACTGTGAACAACGATGCAGATTTTCCCTGGCCACGGCAGTGCTGTGTCATGGATACCCTAGGAACACCAATCAACTTGGATGGCTGCAAATTAGGGGTGTCTGGCTATTTTCACAACACGGTAAGAATTGCTCCTCTGTTTTTTACTTTGACAGAAACTGAAAATGTAACACTGGCTTTCAGTGATACAGCAGAGTGACTAAAAGGCTGAACTGTGAATCAGGAAGCACATCATCCCCTGGTCCAGTTTGGCTCTCGCCTTGACCATGAAATTATCAGGTGGCCTCAGGGAACCCACTTGTTGTTCTGCTTCAGCTTTCCCATCTGTATTATGGGAATGATAATACTGGCCTACCTTTGGATAATGGGTTGAATCCCATTGAAGTGGGGGACCAGTTTTTGTTGATTTCTCCAACTCCCCTCTCATGCTTCTCCCGAAGGGCCACTACCCCCAAGAGCCGCATTTTGGCAATCGTGTCAGGCTTGGGGGGGGGGGAGGAGAGGAAGCTGTGCTTCCTTGAACAGAACTTTTAGGCAGGATCCAGCGTGATGTATGGTGCTTTCAAAAGGTTCCCATACAAGAGATTTATCATTATGCTACTCCTGAATGTCAGCGAGGTACTGCAACCAAACTATATAGTATAGTATTAAAGCTCTGGGATTGGAAAGGCTTGCGCTCTCTCTCTCTCTCTCTCTCTCTCACACACACACACACACACACACACACACACGGGTTTTCTCTTATTTTTGTGACACAAGTGCAATAAAAGGGACTGCTGAAAATTGTGAAAGGAGTAGCTTGGAAGGAGTAGCATGTGGTACTAGTCCATGTATTGCTTGATGAAGCTCTTTAAATATGAAAACACTTCACTGGACTGGAGAAGAGATCTTTGCCAGCATTGATAGAAGTGGATGGGGCATTTGAGCATGGGTTCTCAAATCTCTGGGCCTTGCCCTGTTCACTGTTGCAATTCCTCTACAGCCTAGACCTAATTCCAGTAGGCTGTGCCCCAAACAGAATCTTTTTTTAAAAGATAGCTGGAGATGGGAAATGCAAGTTGAGCACCACAAATTGTATCACTGTGAACAATAAGCCATGGGTTACTGTCACGGAGAAATCTTCTTCCCCACTGAATGACCTCCCCTTGTGGTCTTACGGTTCTTCTCAACTTGCACGCAAAAAGGAGGTGTGTTTACCTGTGCACTAGCAGCACTTCCTTCCCCCCAAGGGCAGCTCCACAGAGCGTTGAGACCCAGCTGAGTATTCCAACTCATGGGTTGAAGACAACTGTTCTGGTGTACTTCCCTGAAGATATCAGAAACTGGGTGAGAGTTAAAAAAAACTTCTCAGGAGAAGGTTTTTTTTTTCTGGGGGAACCTCTTTGGCAGAATTATTTTTTAAAAGTTTAAAAGTTCATGAATTATTAGTATACAGATTGAAAACTTCATTTCCCTCATGAGAGTTCTGGCACATTTTTTTTTTTTAAAGCCCTGGTTCAGGAGCATTAGTGCTGCAAACAAAAAACATAAAGCCATATTGGTTCCTATCCAATAACTCCACACACCAATGGATTGTGCTTTGAGAATCTTCCAGGTAATGCTGGCAGCAGAATAGGGATTGGAGGTACAGTTCAGACTAGCTTGTGTAGACTTGCACCATCCGTGATCATACAGGGTGCAGAGTGTGGAAACTGCATCATAGTACTTATCCTCTGCAATTGTGACAATTCTATTAAGAATGTTGGTCATTTTCTTGTTCACAGATTGAATATTCAAAGTGGTTAGTTAATGGTAGGAGATCATCCTCAGGTTGAGGTTTTCTGACTTTCTTTCTTGGCTGATTCTTCAGGGCTGCTATGAAACCATTGCTGGCTCAATGAACAGACATGCCTGGGGTGTTGCCTGGTTTGGCTTTGCTATTCTCTGCTGGACAGTGAGTATCTCATAATGACCACATCCTGGATTGCGTTTTGTTCTATGAAAACACACAAGTTCCTTCTTATCTGGCTTGGACTGCTCCAGTTGACAGCAGAACATGCTCAAGGGCACAGCTCGGCCAATGCAATGTCCAGTTATTCAGAATCACTCTGGATTTAAGAACATAAGAACATAAGAGACGCCAATGTTGGATCAGGCCAAAGGCCCATCCAGTCCAACACTCTGTGTCACACAGTGGCCAGAAATACCAGTGCCATCAGGAGGTCCAGCAGTGGGGCCAGGACATTAGAAGCCCTCCCACTGTTGACCCCCCCCAAGCACCAAGAAGACAGAGCATCACTTGCCCCAGAGCCCCTAGCTATACCTTGTGGCTAATAGCCACTGATGGACCTCTGCTCCATATGCTTATCTAATTCCCTTTTGAAGCCGTCCATGCTTGTAGCACCCACCACTTCCTGTGGCAGTGAATTCCATGTGTTAATCACTCTTTGGGTGAAGAAGTACTTCCTTTTATCCGTTCTAACCCGACCGCTCTGCAGTTTCATGGAGTGCCCACGAGTTCTTGTATTGTGAGAAAGGGAGAAAAGTACCTCTTTCTTTACCTGCTCTTTCCCATGCATAATCTTATAAACCTCGATCATGTCACCCCTCAGTCGTCTTTTCTCCAAGCTAAAGAGCCCTAAGCGCTTTAACCTTTCCTCATAGGGAAAGTGTTCCAACCCTTTTATCATTCGAGTTGCCCTTTTCTGCACTTTTTCCAAAGCTATAATATCCTTTTTAAGGTGTGGTGCCCAGAACTGCACACAGTATTCCAAATGAGGTCTCACCATTGATTTATGTAGGGGCATTATGATATTGGCTGATCTGTTTAGAAAGGGAGAAAAGTACCTCTTTCTTTACCTGCTCTTTCCCATGCATAATCTTATAAACCTCGATCATGTCACCCCTCAGTCGTCTTTTCTCCAAGCTAAAGAGCCCTAAGCGCTTTAACCTTTCCTCATAGGGAAAGTGTTCCAACCCTTTTATCATTCGAGTTGCCCTTTTCTGCACTTTTTCCAAAGCTATAATATCCTTTTTAAGGTGTGGTGCCCAGAACTGCACACAGTATTCCAAATGAGGTCTCACCATTGATTTATATAGGGGCATTATTATATTGGCTGATCTGTTTTCAATACCCTTCCTAATAATCCCCAGCATAGCATTCGCCTTCTTTATTGCAGTCACACACTGTCTCGACATTTTCAGTGAGTTATCCACTACAACTCCAAGATCTCTCTCTTGCTCAGTCTCTGCCAGTTCAGACCCCATCAATGTGTATTTATATTTAGGATTTTTGGCTCCAATGTGCATCACCTTGCACTTGGCCACATTGAACCCCATTTGCCATGTTGACGCCCACTCGCCCATCCTTGACAGATCCCCTTGGAGTGCCTCACAATCCTCACTGGTTTTCACCACCCTGAACAACTTTGTATCATCCGCAAATTTAGCCACTTCACTGCTTACTCCCATCTCCAAATCATTAATGAACAAGTTAAAAAGCAGTGGACCAAGTACTGATCCCTGCGGTACCCCACTGCTTACCACCCTCCACTGAGAAAATTGCCCACCTACACTCACTCTCTGTTTTCTATGAACTAGCCAGTTTTTGATCCATAAAAGGACTTGTCCTTCTATCCCATGATTTTTGAGCTTACTTAGGAGCCTTTGATGAAGAACTTTATCAAAAGCTTTCTGGAAGTCAAGGTAAATAATATCTATTGGATCCCCCTTGTCCACATGTTTGTTTTCTGTTTTCTGCAGTGATAGGACCAAATCAGATTACTTTTGATAGGTAAACCTTGCCTTTTACATCTTCCTCTTGGTGTTCTTGTACATTCTCATGCAATTTCTTAGAGGTCCTTCTGTAGGATGTTTTTGCTGCCTGGAGCCAATGATTTGTTACTGATAATGAGAATGGAAAAATATGTAGGGTTCAGTGATGGTGTTTTGAAGGTAAAGTTTAATGTACATGATGATACATTTGTTCCGTTTTGGTGGACTTCAAGCTGCACAGTTGTGGATGTTACATCTTTATCCATGGGAATGAGATGACCTCTTATCCCAACAGCTTCAATTTTTACAGCTTCAGTTTTTACCCATTTCAGTTAGCAATCAGAAAAGCTTCTTCTCTGAGGTCCACACACCACTAGATATCACTAGATATCACTCTGGATTATCAGCAACTAGATTATCCTGTGTGGACAAGGCTATCCAGTTGCAAACGCTAGCACATTATGTAAAGATGCAGCCCAAGTGACACAAAGGCCATGGATGCCTAAAAGCACTTGCTGTCACTGCTGTTTTCTGCAATCAATTTAACTTTGGATTGCAAACTTATTGTTTCAGGGGGTCTGTCCCTTGCATCCAGTTGGAGCCAAGCCCTGCTCTCTACCAGATTTTATGCTCCTGGTTTTACTGGCTGATGTCCATTTTTCATTTATATTATTTTTCATTTTTCATTTAGGGTTACTTTAATTTGATTTTTATACGTTAAATTATATATTTATTGTTATAGCTGCCTCAGGCAGATTCTGGAGAGTGTGGTATAAAAGTATTTTCAATGAATAGGGCCTAAATTGGTACATCAAGTGTCAAAAGACCTCTACATGGATAGTACAACCAGTGTAAGAAGACTTAAGAAGACTACCTGTTATCAACTAGTCAACTTTTAGTCATGTAGAATCTACCTTCCTCACAGAGGTTCAAGGAGTATATCACTTATACACCAGTTTGGTGTAGTGGTTAAGTGTGCGGACTCTAATCTTGGAGAACCGGGTTTGATTCCCCACTCCTCCACTTGCACCTGCTGATGTGACCTTGGGTCAGTCACAAGCTCTGGCACAGCTGTCCTTGAAAAAGGGCAGTTTGTGTCAGAGTTCTCTCAGCCCCACCCACCTCACAGGGTGTCTGTTGTGGGGAGGGGAAGGGAAAGGAGTTGTAAGCCGCTCTGAGACTCCAAGTGAAGGGCGGGGTATAAATCCAATCTCCTCCTCCTCCTCCTCCTCCACCTCCTCCTTCTTCTTCTGAAATGGCAGAGCAAAATGTTGGTTGAGTGTCAGATCTGGGCTTGGATTTGGGTTCTTGCTTAGCCATGAAGGATATGGGATGGCCTTGGACAAGCCACATTCTCTTACTTCTTGACTAGAGTGGCCAGGTGGTTGTTCAAATAAAATAAGTAGAGAACCATGAAGAATTGAGAAAGGGGAGGAGTAAAAAGGAGAAAGGAGCCTCCTCATCTCTTCCCCCGCCACTCATTTACTGTAGAAGATAATGGGACAGGAGTGGTAGTCTCTTTACAGTTAGGTAAAAGTTGGGTAAAAGTTCTGTGAAATTTGACAGAAGACTCAGTGAAAATCCCAAATCAAAGGTGGAATGAATCTCAGTTGGAGTGGGACTGAGGGAATTCAGGCTTCTGTCATCTTTTCCCAGGCATATGACAGGCACTATACTAGCATCTCAGGCTTAATGCAACTCTATTGTGAAAAGATGTGGCAGGACTACAAGGGAACACAGGAACAACATATCCCATGTTTCTTGGAAGCCTTAGCTGCAGCATCTAGGGTTTAGTGGAAGTCCAACTGCGCCCCACTGGCTGCCTCTATAAATCTCTGAACAGTGCACTTTTGTTGCATTATAGAAATTAGCAACTAGATTTTCCTGTGTGGACAACACAGTCCAGGAGGAGAATTATTATGATAGCAAACCGGTTGTGCAATATCCAGCAATGTATATGTGTAGCGCCTCCAGCCATTTCTACATTTATTTAACTTCGGGAAGGGAGAGGATCTTTATCAACCAGGACCCCAAATTAGTCCCAGTGATTGTTGCTGCACTTCTACAATGTGCTGAGAAATATAAGCCAATTCCCTAGAATTATTTGTGGTGCAGTCTTGGGGAGAGTTGCCATAACTTCAGATAACAAGGGGTAATGGGTGTCAGGGGGGCGGTGCCAGCCCCCTCCCGACTATGCAGGAAAGTACCCAAATAGCACTTGTCATGGGAAGGAAGGCAATCCTCGACCTTTCGCGGGGGGTCCAGGGGTCCTGGCCCAAAAGCCACCAAGGGGAGATCACCCTAAGAAAGGTCGGGGACGAGGGATCACCTGGGCAGGGTGTCAAGGTCCCGACCGAGTACGACAGAGTTGGCAGGCAGAGCAAAGAGCGTGGAATCTCGTGGAGCCCCGGCTTGTGGCTCGGTTACTTTAAGAAGTGGGTAGTGGGTGGACCAGGTGCGAGGGTGGAACAAATAAAGGAATAAAACAGGTGAAGCCGAGGAGGATATGGGGAGCGTTGGCGAGAAAGATGATGATGAGGGGAATGTCCACTCGAACCTGTCTGAAGTGAACTCTCCCTGTTGTGGCAAGTGAATGAAACTTGGCTTACGACTTATCTGAGGCAGACCTGAACCTATGTTGTTCTGCCTAACAACCTGGAGTCCACTCACGGCCGACTTGGACCTGCCCGTAACCCTGAGCTTGACAATGGGTAAATACTTTTTCTGCCTCAAAGCAGGGATTTGTTGTAATTTTTAAAGGACGAATGCATAAACACTGAAGAATACAATATTCAGGGTGATTTTGGAGGAGTGAACAGGAGGAATCTAGATTTCTGGAAACTTTCCTGTAAAGTCCATATGAGTTTGTTTCTAATACATATTCACCTATATTTCTCCATAGCGGGTACAATATCCTCGAGAAATCACAGTACAGAGAAATTCCACTCCACATAATGATGTTGTTTGTACAGGTTTACCGCAGGCTGTTCTTCTGGTTGGTGGAGTCTTGGTGTGGAAATTCTGGGCAAAATGGGTAAATAAGATGTTGCAATGGCAAATGTGTGGCCATTCTTGATTTTTTAACCCTTTCCTTTCAGACTTGGGTCCTCCTTTGCACCATGTTCTACTGGAGCAGAATTGAATATTAAAAGAACTACTGTCTACGAACTCATCCTCCTTGGAATCTGCAAATTAATTTTGGTTTTTTTAATGTGATGTGTGTTGTCTCCATCTATTTCCTCTCTGGAGATTCTGAAAATCCTTCCTTAACCCTTCTATCTCTGCTTAGTGGTGACCTCTTTCCAACCCCCCACATTTCAAATTTAGCAGACTCATACCTGCAGTAGGATGGTGGGATGGGTGGTAGAAATGCTCTCATGCTGTGCTCTGACCACTTGAGTTCAGCACCATTAGATGGGTGCGCTATGACTAGAGATAGCGGCATGGAGGAAATGCCTCCAAACCAATTTGAAGGCAATTGTCTGGAGCAAGCATGTTGTGTTTTGTAACACTCCGTCAAGAGTATTACTGAAATGATTTCCCTCTGCTTTGTAAGCAAAGCTCATTTTACCATTTCTTTGCAGAGGCAATAAAACACTTTACAATGTTTCACTTTTTCCTCTGATTGATGTGAGGGATGTAAGTTGAACTAGGAAATGTGGCTAAATTGGGTTTGTTAGTTTTGTTATGAACTGTGATCCATGAACTATACGTGTGACACTGTGTTACTCATGGCTACCTCTTGTAATGGATCACAGGTAACTTAGCAATGGTATGCACACCATCCTGTGGAACTGGGCCCAACCCATGTTCTGTTTATTGAGTGACTCACTCAGAAGAGATGTTTAAGCTACAGAACATAGTAGCAGAAGAACTGTACTGGTAAAATTTAACCGGACGGTTACATTAAAAATGTTTTCCTCTGCTCTTAAGTTGATCAGAATTCAACAAAAGTCCAAATAATTGTTTACTTATTTGTTTTTCATGTGTAACCAATCAATTATATAAGAAAACTCTTTTTTAAACATAATGCAGTGTGATATTTCATACCACTTAGACCAAACTGTGTGCCCATTTTGTGATATTTTGTTAATTGTATATAACTTTTTTCAAGACAACTTCCCCCCCTCTCCGAGGGGTGCAACTAGATAAGGTGTTGGAGATCCTACTCAGATCTCCAACGGACTTTGTTGTTCTTTAAAAAGAGCTTCAGAGCAGTAATTTGGATGGTGCTGGGACAGAGCACATTTGGTAAGGTAATCATTCTCCCCCATGCTGTTTCCCCTGTGCTCAAATTGGGAGGGCCCAATTTCTGTTAATTTGATACCTAATGTGGCTAATAGAACTCAAAAGGGTTTGTAAGAAATGGGGGAGGGAATGGCTAGACCTTACCTACCACTGCACTGATTCATATCCAGGACCCCTGGGTGTCCAGTTACAGATCTTCAGAGACTCAGTTGGTTGCACCCTCTGTGTACCCTGAGCTCCAAGAACACGCCACTTGCTCTGTTTAAGAGTTCCTGTATATGTGTGGTTCAACCTTTAACAATAAAGTGGAACTTTAAAAAAAAAAAGTCTAAATAAATGGAGTTTGTTGATGCTGTCTAGGCTGTCTGGACAATATCACTGTATGTTTTGGTGTGTGGAACTCAAAAGTTTGGCCCATTCAAATTCTTCAGAAAAGATGAGAATCCTCAAGGATGAGCTGGGCCTTGATGGCTGTCCCAGAGGGGTGCCATTGTTCAGTGACAGAGTATCTCCTTGGCATGCAGAGGACCCCAGGTTCAGTCTCTGGTTAAAAGTATCAGGTAGTAGACGATGCAAAAGACCTATATCTGAGACCCGGAGAGCAACTGTCAGTCTGAGTAGACAGTACTGACCCTAATGGGCCAATAGTCTGATTCAGTACAAGTCAACTTCATATGTTCAAATGTCTGACTTTATGATGAAAAATAATATTTCCCTTCTTCTAGCAGAACTTAATACTTGCGTATTATTTGAAATATAAGCCCGTAACCTTGCCTGTTGCTAGAAACCATCTGGAGCTTCATGAAGAAGCTTTATATTCAAGCTGTAAGCTGAAGGCAAGTCACTGAGTGCATTGATTCTAGAAATAAGGTATGGGGAGTAATGCTTCCTCTAAGCTGTGGAGTCTTGCGAGCAAAAATTCTACATTGTGAGTTACTGTCATTAAATTTGTGAGCGAGCGATTTGGCTGCTGCATAAATTAGTTTGCTCTGGAGCCATCCTTCCTGAGCTAAGACAAAAATGTGTGAGCCAGAGGTTAAAAAACTGTGAGGTGTCTCACACTAACTCAGCTTAGAGGGAACACTGGGGGTTACTGAGGATGATGGTCAGCCATATCAGTTTTTGGGTGGATATGTACTAGCACATATCTGAAAACATAATACTTTTTCATAAGCTTAAAAAAGACACTTCCCTACCCTCAATCTAAATGACCTTTTATTTATTTATTTATTTATTTATTTATTCAGCTTGATATACCGCCCTAACCCCCGTAGGGGTCTCTGGGTGGTTTACAGAGGGGGTGCTAGTCACCTATTTGCCCTAACTAGGGCCACATTGTTTCTGGGGAGGGTAGCCTACCGGCACCCAGGTGGAGGCAGGTATCTTCCAATCTGGTTGGCTTCCTTTTTCCCGGCGGTGATTGGGCTGTTGTTCCTGGAGCTGGCGTTGTTCCGGCACGCTGCTAACGGCCTCCCAGGACCCGACTCCGTCCTTCAGGCTCCGTCGCGTTTCTGGGTGACGTCACTGCGCGCCTCCTTGCTGTACGGCAGCCTCTCGTTGTTCCTGCTGCTGGCCGCCAGGAGTCACTCCTTCTGAGCCTGCTGCTCTCTGCTTGCCGCCGCCGCGTCGCCGAGCTCCTTTCTTGCCTCCGCCGCCGGTATTCAGCCACCGTCATCGTCTCCATTGCCGCAACGCCGCCGCTGCCGCCATTGTCGCCATCCACACACCTCGCCGAGGAGGAGGGTGCCCCCCACCCTTCTAAGGGTGGGTACCCATTAATCTACTCGCCTTGAGATTTTTACGTTGGCTTTCGAACCGCTGGGTGGGCGGGAGCTAGGACAAGGGTCGAGAGCTCACCTCGACCGCGGTGGGTCTCGAACAGCCATAGTGGCTCGAGTGATGTTAAGGCAGGCATTTACCGCCTGCGCCACCGCTCCCAAATTTATTTCTTTGTTCTTCTTCTGTTCTGGGTGTCTGAAGCATAACAAAACTGACACACCTCCCCGTACCCTAGGCTGGTAGAGGAAGCAAGATCAGGCTCTCTACCTTGCTCAATGGATCTTATTTATATGTCCCCTCCCAGCGTGGCACTTCTCCTGTCTCTATTACTCGCCCACACAAACACTCCCCCACTCACACTACCTCTGCACTGGCACACAGGATGAGTTATACTAATCTGGCACTTGGCACAGTTTGCTCTGAAAGGATATTCCTTGTGGTCTGGTGGGTTTCCTAAGTGTGCTTTCAACAGCTGAGGAACTGCTAAGCTGCCATTTTAGAAAAGAGTTGATAAGGCTTCTGCCTAGTCCCCATCAGTCCCCACTGTATATACAGGATTGATACATCGGTGTGAGTCCTGCCCACAGCATCCTGTGCGAGACTTTTCTCTCAAGCACTACAAGGAGACTAAAACAATACAAAACATTACAAATGGATGGTCGGTGTTCTTGATCAAAGGCTGAGCCATCTCAACACTCCTGCCACTGATTGATTGGGCATGGTACCAATACTAGGGTTGCCAGCCTCCAGGTGGGGCCTGGAGATCCCCCGCTTTTACAACTGATCTCCAGTTGACAGAAATCAGTTCCCCTGGAGAAAATGGCTGCTTTGAAGGGGGGACTCCATGGCATTGTACCATGCTGAGGCTCCTCCCCTCCCCAAACACTACCCTCTCCCGGATCCACCCCCAAAGTTTCCAGGTATTTTCCAACCCAGACCTGGCAACCCTAACCAATACTTTTGTGGAAAATGAAGCTGAAACACCTCTCTGAGGACAGGAGATGTGGTGAGTTTCTGTTTCCAAGAGTCTCTTGCTGACTTTTGATAGCATAGAAGGCTAAATAGTGGGCTGGTGCCAGCATGTTGCCAGGCAGGCTTACCAGGAGTATCTGTACGGACTGCCCAGTCCTGTTTGTTTGCTCTTGCAATTATCTCATTCCGGTTTTTACTGCCATACATGTCCTGTCCACTTCCCCACCTCCTGAGATGGGGGATTCCACTGTAGGGTTGGTAAAGATCTGAGCAGAGATGCAAACCGGGAGCGAGAGCAGAAGGTGCAGACTAACATACTTTGTCAAAAGATTCATGAGGCTCCTCCTCCTTGTATTAAGGTCACCTCATCTCTGTTGACAGTTCTGTAAGACAAAGGCCAGCTCGAAAACAAAGTGGCTGCTAACTGACCAAGATCCTATGTTCCGTTGCGGGCATGGAGACATCAGCATGCTCACAAAACTCCATTGGTTCCATGATCACGTTTTCCTCCAGGGAAATTCCTATAACTCGGCCGTCCACGTTTTCCACAGACACTCTACAAGAAAGATACTCAAGCCTACTTACAGATTCTTTCTCAAGGAGCCATATAGATTTCACTTGGTGTCATTTTTTTCCATATTTGGGCCTCTCTGAGAATAATTCCCCTCTCCCCACACATCAATACAGGAAGCAACAAGCTGGAAGGTGGCTGTTATCCTATGGTGCATTAAATCAATTTATCTGTCTAGCCTTGATTGTCTTACTCTGACTTGTAATAGCTCTCCTCTTTCTCGAAAATCCTCTCACTGAAGTATCCAGGCACAGAACCTGGGTGCTTGTGCATGAAAAACATATGCCCTACCATTGAGGTATGACCACCTTCAGTCAAAATGAATTTATGCTTTACCTCACAATGCTTTACATCATTTGTTATTTCTTGAGCTGTGTACAGTGTTTTTGTGTCTGAATGCTGGATTAAGCATGAATGACTGGGCATGTATCAGTAGTGTTTCATTGCTACTCTTCCTCTCCCACATTTCTTTGACACCATAAGGGCAAGAGAAATGGTGTATGCAATAGCAGGCACAAGCATGAGTACTGATTTTGCTTCTAGGACCTTATCAACTAGCTGGTTCATGGAGTATGTATATACCCACTTTAGTTTTGAAGGATACTAAAGCACTAAAGAGTTGTTCATTATCAAACCAGTTGAATTCTAAACTATGGCAATTCCTCCATAGCTTGGTAACATTCCCAACTTCAGTGCTGCTAACACAAGGCAAGTCAGAGTTGCGTTACAGTTGCCTTATCTTGGTATTGCAGCATGGCACATGGTGATTATAGATGGTTCTGTTTCTTTAGGTACCTCAAGCCACACCTCTTTATGGTTAGTTATGTCATTTATTCAACTGTTTTGACTGGGTTCTCTGGCTTCCTGTGTATTACATGTGCTTTCTTTCATGTTGGCTGTATGCCTTCCAATGCCTGACTGAAGAAACTATTTCCATTTGTGCAAAACAGTGGCACAATAGGATAGTTAATAAGCAAATGATAATCACCAATAACTGTATTCCGAATGTGGCCAGAGAGTGGGGATCAAAAAATCTGCACAATGGACCTATGAAGATAAAGCTGTTTCCACACAGTCTTACATTTTTGAAAAATAAAGGGGGGGGGGAATTAAAACTTTTAAAATGCCAAGATTGTGGCAGGCATTTGGCGTAGGCAACCATCTGCAATTGTCTAGGCAGTTCAAAATGGCCACTCCAGTTCACCTGAGGTGACTTGGGGGAGAAGGGAAGTGTTTGCAGGC